GGTTTAATATTCCCCCCTCTGGTTGTACTATGGCACCCATCCCCAGATAATTCTTGCATTTTCTGTCTTTTCTACAGGATGAATTTTTAGATGTGATCTACTGGTTCCGACAGATCATTGCTGTGGTCCTGGGTGTCATTTGGGGAGTTTTACCATTACGAGGTTTCTTGGGAATAGCAGGGTAAGTCTTGGGTATCTTACATTTTCATGGTATCATTTCTTTTTAAATAGAGGCTTTTTTTCCTGTTAGAGGAAAGGCCATTGCTGCTCTGGAGCTGTGTGTGTGTGATGAATACAGCAAAGCAGCGGCCCTACAATGGCACTCCTGGGTCTGGTGCACCACTCCTCAGGAGCATCTCAGGTCAGGCAGGTTACCTTCCTGCCTTCCTGAAGGCTGGGCCAGTCCATTCATTCATGGGTCTAAAGGGACCTCATGCAAGAGGCTATCACATTACTTGTTGGTGGCATGCCCTCTAGTTCTGCTATGACCTTTGTTTCTGTGCAAGTTTGGGAAGTAGGAACTTCTGTATTTGACGACCATTTCCCTTGTGCCTGGCACTATGCTTAGTGCCAGGTGCTAAACCTTGGCTTTGGCAGAAGTTATTTCAGGTCCCTTCATTTTGTTTTTTTGAGATAGGGCCCCACTTTGTCGCCCAGGTGGGAGCACAGTGGCACCATCACGGCTGACTGCAGCCTTGACCTCCTGGATTCAAATGATTTTCCTGCCTCAGCCTCCTAAGTAACTGGAACTACAGGCGTGAGCCACAATACTTGGCTGATTTTTAAAAATTTTGTAGAGACAAGGTTTCTCTACATTGCCCAGGCTAGCCTTGAACTCTTGGGCTCAAGTGATCCTCCTTCCTCGGCCTCTCAAAGTGTTGGGATTACAGGCATGAGTCAAAATGTCTGGCATAGGTCCCTCTTTTTTTTTTTTTTTTTGAGACGGAGTCTTGCTTTGGTGCCCAGGCAGGAGTGCACTGGCATGATCTCGGCTCACTGCAACTTCCACCTCTCAGGTTCAAGCAATTCTCCTGCCTCAGACTCCCAAGTAGCTGGGACTACGGGTGCCCACCAACATGCCCGGCTTATTTTTTTGTATTTTTAGTAGAGACGGTTTCGCCATGTTGGCTGGGCTGGTCCTGAACTCCTGACCTCAGGTGATCCGCCTACTTTGGCCTCCCAAAGTGCTGGGATTACAGGCATGAGCCACCGTGCCTAGCTCATTGCTGTTCCTAGCCCCATAACTGATGGTGAGCTGAGGGCAGGAACAGTCATCTTCACATCTGCATCCTATAGCAGTAACAGACAGTGGATATCCAGAAATGGTCTCCTACTGGGAGTTGTACAGGGGGTATGCTGTTGCCTGCTCAACTAGGCTGTGAAGCAGTGGCTTCACGTGTGTTTCTCCCATAGCCTGCCTCTAGCTGGAGCTACCTGGAGGCCCATGTCAGGTTCTGTTTGGGACAGCTCAGCAGCCATTCTGTCTGTCTTCAAGGGGCTTTGGAGAACTATATAATACACATACACACACACACACAATATATACTTATATATGGAGTTTTGCTGTTGCCCAGGCTAGAGTGCAGTGGAATAATTTTGGCTCACTGCAACCTCTCCGCCTCTGGGTTCAAGCAGTTCTCCTGCCTCAGGCTCCTGAACAGCTGGGATTACAGGTGCCCACCACAATGCCCTGCTGGTTTTTGTATTTTTAGTAGAGACAGGGTTTCATCCTGTTGGCCAGGCTGTTCTCGAACTCCTGACCACAAGTGATCCACCTACCTCAGCCTCCCAAAGTGCTGGGATAACAGGCGTGAGCCACCACGCCTGGCCCCAAGTTCTGAGTCTTCTAATCTTACAGTTTATGTTTGGTACTTGTTCTCTCTTGCTCCAGATTCTGCCTGATCAATGCAGGAGTCCTGTACCTCTACTTCAGCAATTATCTACAGATTGATGAGGAAGAATATGGCGGCACGTGGGAGCTCACGAAAGAAGGGTTTATGACCTCTTTTGCCTTGTTCATGGTATGTGTAGCTGATAGTTTTATAGCAGATACTGTTCATTTCATGAGGTGTCACTTACAGGAGGGGACCCCACTGATTGAGTTACACTATGTGAACAGGGTGCTGTTTTTCTAAAGGTTTCTGAGGCTCAGGGCCATGGCCTGTGTTGAGCCACATCCTAGAAGATGTGGTCTGAAATACTGTATAGTCCCCTGTAATGTGTAAATCCAGGGCCCATCGTCAGCTTCTACATCTGATTCTCAACCCTGGCTACATATTAGAAACTAGGAGGGCCGAGCATGGTGGCTCAGGCCTGTAATCTCAGCATTTTGGGAGGCCAAGGCAGGCAGATCACCTAAGGTCAGGAGTTCAAAATCAGCCTGGCCAACATGGTGAAATCCCATCTCTACTAAAAATACAAAAAATTAGTTGGGCGTGGTGGTGGGCACCTGTAATCCCAGCTACTTGGGAGGCCGAGGCATGAGAATCTCCTGAATCTGGGAGGCAGAGGTTGCAGTGAGCTGAAATCATGCCATCGCATTCCAGCCTGGGCAACAAGAGGGAAACTCCACCTCAAAAAAGAAACTAGGAAATATTTTTCATAATGGCTAAAAAGTACAAACAATCCAAATGACCATCACTTGATGAATGGATAGGATAATATATATCCATACAGTAGAATGTTATTTGGTCTTAAAAAGGAATGAAGTGGCCGGGCACGGTGGCTCACACCCGTAATCCCAGCACTTTGGGAGGCCGAAGCGGGCGGATCACAAGGTCAGGAGATCGAGACCATCGTGGCTAACAAGGTGAAACCCTGTCTCTACTAAAAAAATTAGCCGGGCTTGGTGGTGGGCGCCCGTAGTCCCAGCTACTGGGGAGGCTGAGATGAGAATGGTGTGAACCTGGGAGGCGGAGCTTGCAGTGAGCCAAGATTGCGCTACTGCACTCCAGCCTGGGAGACAGAGCAAGACTATCTCAAAAAAAAAAAAAAAAAAAGAATGAAGTACCGATACATGCTGTATAACATGGATGAACCTTGAAACATTATGCTAAGTGGAAGAATCCAGATATAAAAGACCATATATTGTGTGATTCTATATGCAAAATCTCCCAGTGAGCAAATCCATTGAGGCAAAAAGTATATTAGTGCTTGCCAGTGGCTGGGAGGAGGGGAGGGAGAGTAGCTGATAAAGGAAACAGGCTCTTTTTGGAGTAATGTTTTGAAATCAGTGGTGATGTTTGCACACCTGTGCCCATATAGAAAACTTCTGAACCGTATACTATTATTTTTTTTGACACAGGGTCTCACCCTTTCACCCAGGCTGGAGTGCAGTGGCACAATCTTGGCTTACTGCAGACTCCGCCTACTGGGCTCAAGTGATCCTCCCACCTCAGTCTCCCCAGTAGTTGGGACTACAGGCGTGAGCCACCATGCCTGGATAGTTTTTGTATTTTTAGTAGAAATGGGGTTTCATCATGTTGGCCAGGCTGGTCTCAAACTCCTGACCTCAAGTGATCCACCCGCTTCCGCCTCCCAAAGTACTGGGATTACAGGTGTGAGCCACCGCGCCCAGCCCATTTTTTTTTTGAGAGGGAGTCTCGCTCTGTCTCCCAGGCTGGAGTACGGTGGCCGGATCTCAGCTAGCTGCAAGCTCCGCCTCCCAGGTTTACGCCATTCTCCTGCCTCAGCCTCCCGAGTAGCTGGGACTACAGGCGCCCGCCACCTCGCCCGGCTAGTTTTTTGTATTTTTTTAATAGAGACGGGGTTTCACCGTTTTAGCCAGGATGGTCTTGATCTGACCTCGTGATCCACCCATCTCGGCCTCCCAAAGTGCTGGGATTACAGCACTATAGGAGGCTGAGGCAGGCAGACTGCTTGAGTCCAGGAGTTCAAGACCAGCCTGGGCAATATGGTGAAACGCATCTCTACAGGGGGAAAAAAAAATAGCCAGGAGTGGTGGTGTGTACCTGTTGAGTCCCAGCAGGATTAAAAAAAAAAAACCTTATGTGTCCAGACTCTAATCCAAACCAATAAAATCTTCTGAGAGGTATTGCTGGGGCATCTATATGTTTTTTAAAGAACCAGGAGATTACAATGGGTAGACAAGGTTTGAGAATCCCTGCTTTGATATGCACCTGACAAATTATAATGGTATTTTCACACTGGTAGTTGCAGCACCTGCTAGCAGTGTAGTATGCTTTACTTGAATCATTTCCACTTCTGTACCTCAATTCCCTGGGCCTGGGGTTGCCATTTGGTAGGGCAGGAACTTATCAGGAGTTGCTTTGCAAGTGCAGGTGGGCAGTCCTGGGCTCTGTTAGTGACAGTGTGATTTCAGTGAAATTTTAACTTAGACTCCCCAAGCCGATTGTGCAATGGATAGCCCCGGGAGAGCCCCGTGTTCACATTCTCATCTGGCATTTTTGTTTTGTGGAATCAGGGCCTGTGTTAACCCAGGTGACCTATGAACAGTGCTTGTCTCCTCACTAGGTCATCTGGATCATCTTTTACACTGCCATTCATTATGACTGATGGTGTACAGCTCCCAACTGCTCCCTATCCAGTCCAAAGGACCCTCTTGATTACAGCACAGGAACTTGATCGTTGGGGAACCCCAGCCCCTTGGAACTTGGAAGACCCATGTTTCCTGGACCGCGAATCAGTGTGTTGGGCATCAGTGTTTTCTGCAAGGGTTGTGACCTGAAACTTTTTAAAAACCACCCACCTTTGGAGAAGCATTTCTGAATTTATCCGTCACCAACCATTTCTTCTTGGATACCGTCAAGTAACAGCTGTTTGCCAAGTGGAGCTGTCATTTAATTTGATGCACCTCTGGATTCAGATGAAACATTAAATTGTCTTCCTCGATTCTCCATCAGGTGTACAGTTTTTAAACTATCAGTGGCATTTAAAGTCTTCTGAAACAGCATGACTGTATGTGTGTGGTCCATAGCACAGTACAGGCAGCATCTAATAACAGTTTCCATTGTAGAATGTTTTCAGATACTTGAATAAATCAAATCTTTAATTGAGAACCTGTTGATGATACCTGATAAAGCCTTTCCCACCCCACCTGTAGCTTGGGAACCCAGTAGGAACACTCGAGGTGGTACCTCCCACCCCATCCCTCTTTCTTCCTCTCCGTGCTCCCTTAGCAGATCCAGCAGACCTCTTTCTCTTTATGAGGGCAGCAGGGAAATTAAGCGCTGGATTTGGTGTAGGCTGTGGCCTCAGTCTTGGCATTGTGGAGAGAGGGCTTAGCACCTTCTGATGCCCCTGCCCAGCACTGAGGTGCCTGGCCTCACTGCAGTGTGCTAGACTTAAGAGGTGTTATTTTGTATTTGGCCACAAGATGGCAAGGCCAGTGTGCTAGGGAATGGTAAGCCACAAAATGAAATAGAGATCTGAAAGCTAGGCTGGGTGCGGTCGCTTACACCTGTAATCCCAGCACTTTGAGAGGCCGAGGCGGGTGGATCACCTGAGGTCAGGAGTTCGAAACCAGCCTGGACAACATGGTGAAACCCCATCTCTATTAAAAATACAAAAAAATTAGCCAGGCATGGTGGTATGCACCTGTAATCCCAGCTATTCTGGAGGCTGAGGCAGGAGAATTGTTTGAATCCAGGAGACGGAGGTTGCAGTGAGCTGAGATCGTGCCATTGCACTCCAGCCTGGGCAACAGAGCAAGACTCCGTTTCAGAAAAAAAGAGCTGGGGCTGTTGTCCTCAATGGGGGACATTTGAGGACTTAGACTGTCAGAAGTCTTTCTCATTGCTCTGGAGATCATGTAGAGGCTGGAGCACCTATGATCTGCTGCTATGGTAAGACATCATCTCCTCAGTTTTCCTTTCCCTTCTAGGCCACAGTCCTATCTTCTGAGGTACGGTGGTGGTCTCAACGAGACTTGTCAATTTCCCGAAAATGATTTTCTCACAGAAGCTAGGGGTTGTTTCTACCTTGTGGGCGGGGCCTGGTTAATGGGGGATGTAGAACGGGGCTCAGCAGGCAGGGCATCCAGATGGTACTGGAAACAAACTCAAGAACTGACTAGGTCAGACCCGCAGGAGGCTTACTTTCTTTTTGGAACCCTGGCCCTGGTCCCAACTTCTCTGCATTTGGACTAGAGGTCGCAGGTGGGGTCATGGCACTGGGAGGAGGTAGGTGACGACTTAGGGCCAAGAGAGGAAAGAGCAAGGGTACAGGTGGAACCTTGGATGCACCTCTGTGTCCCAGCCCTCCCTCACTGAGTGCACAGCCTTGCCTCTGGGGTGCTCAGGTGGCTGGGCTGAATTGGGGTTCTAGGTGTGCAATCTTGGTTTCCCTTTTGGCCTCTCTTTTGGGCCTAGGCATCATCCAAAGAGACAGCCTCCTCATTCAGGCTGATGTAGGAGCTGAGGGACTCCCGGAGACCCTCACTGAGAAGAGACTCCTCCCCTGTGGGAACTTCAGAAAACAGGAGGGAGCTGTGGACAAAGGAAGAGAATTGGGTCAAGGAGCCTATTCCTCCTCCCTGCACTCACTACACACAAAAATGCACTGTTCTCAAAACCCCTCACTCCTGATGAGGACCTCATGGGGCTCCCCTGTTCCCTATCAGATCAGCTTCCCAGCCCCACCTGCCGAGCCTGGGCTGTGCTCCAGGAGTTGAGTCAGTGTGCCCTGGCTCCAGCTGCCAGGTGTCCCTGAGTGTGACAGGTACATTCGGGTTGTGGTTCCCAGGGGTGGGTCCTTCTAACTCTTGGTCTTGCTTTCATGTTTCCAGGAGTCCCCGACTTTACCTGTCCAGCTCTTTCCAGTTGAGTGGTGTCCTCTGTACAGTCACAGGTAGGGGTATATCCTTGCTAGGGAGCGGGCCAGCCCTCTGCAGGACACAGGGCTCCTTGAGGAGGCAGCAGATGTCATCCGCCAGCTCTGAGGAAGAGACCTCCATCCCTGACATGGCCGACTCCACCCTACTTCTCTCCAACAGCCCTCATCCTGACAGCCCCCCACACTTGGCAGGAGGGGGCATGGTTACAAAAGAGTGACAGGACATGAGCCCCAAGCTGTTGGTTTCATGGAGACAGATGCAGTCAAAGGTCTTTCTGGGCTAACTTTTGGGAGACAATCACTGTATGATTTAGGGTGAGTTCATGGACCTCCTGAGCTCAAGTTTCTGGTTAGGAAATTGCTTTGGGAAGAAGAAAGCTAAGGACTGCTCAGTCTACTACTACTGTCTACTCCTGCATGGAGTGACCTGCAGAAAACCCCTGAGTTTTCTGAGAGTGCTCTTCCCTCTCTGCGCCCTGACGCTGTGCCCAGTGACTGCATCTTCCAGTGTCTGTTGAAGGACCGGCATCAGGAAGTACTAAGGAGAGTCAGGATTGAATCCCACACAGCAGCAGCTCTGGGTCCGGTTCCTGTGGAGAGAACTCCGCCTGCTGCCAGGGGCTTTGAATCAGAACCAGGGTGGTAGGCAAGGTACTGACCGGAGCCTACACAGGAGGTATGTGGCTTTTCTGCTAGGGCACGAGGTGAAGACAAGGCTTCCAGCCTGCATTTCTTGGCATGGGGACTGGTGTGAAAATAGGGGAGGCCTCTCTTCTGTCTGTCTGAATACTCCATAGCAGGTAAAATATCCGAAGACACCACTGCCTGCTCCTCCCTGCAGACTATCCCAGCCTACTCCTGGGGGCAGGGAAAGGCCATACCAGAGTAATGGTCCACCAGGGCCTGGAGTGAGGGGAAGGTGAGGCGCGGTGAGATGTACAGCCAGCCATTGTCAAGGCGCTGGATCCTGTAGTGTCTGATTCGGTCCCAGGATGCAGGGCGGCTGAGACGGACTGACAGGGAGTAAGAGCCTGAGGAGAAAAGGGTCCAGGGGTGGCGCTGAGGCCCTGCTGGGACTCAGCCCCACCCAGGTTGGGAAACGAAGATAGGCAACATGGCCATGGGGCCCCGGCAGAAGGGAAGTGTCTTGGGCAGAAGCAAGACAAAGACTTGCTCTCTCGGTCATCAATAACATGTTCATAATAGATGGGGGTCTTGTGAGGGTGAAATCAAATCACACACAGAGCCCTCAGTACAGGGTCTGGCACCGTGTGAATGAACATTCAGCGTTGGCTGTTCTTACAAAGACTCAGGTGGCAGATGTGTTAGGATGCAAAAACACTGTCAAGAAGATGCTGGCAAGGAAGTGGAGAAGTAGGACCTCCCACCCTGCTGGTGGAAGAGAAATTAGTACAAGCCACCTTGGAAATAGTTTGGCATTAACTAGATGAGCTGAACATGCACGTACCTTACAACCCAGCAGTTCTACCCAGGCACATTACCTCAGAAGCACACAGGCAAGAATATGCACAGCAGCATTGTAAAGTGCTGGGATTACAGGCTTGAGCCACCGCGCCCGGCTGTTTGTAAAAGTCAAAAATGGGCCAGGTGTGGTGGCTCACGCCTGTAATCCCAGCACTTAGGGAGGCCGAGGCGGGTGGATCACAAGGTCAGGAGATTGAGACCATCCTGGCTAACACGGTGAAACCCCGTCTCTATGAAAAATACAAAAAATTAGCCGGGCGTGGTGGTGGGCGCCTGTAGTCCCAGCTACTTGGGAGGATGAAGCAGGAGAATGGCATGAACCCGGGAGGCAGAGCTTGCAGCAAGCTGAGATCGCACCACTGCACTCCAGCCTGGTCGACAGAGGGAGACTCTGTCTCAACAACAACAACAACAACAAAGTCAAAAACTGCAAACAACCCATTTATGCTCAACAGTAGAACTGTGGATTATAGAGTGTAGTACTAAACAACAGTTAAAATTAATAACTGCTACATATATAGGCATAAGGAAATCTTGGAAATAAGCAGAAAAACATTACAGAGCATACATTCAGCCCGATTCTATTTAAAGTTCAAAGACAGCCAACTGACATTATATGTTACACAGGCACACATGGCAAAGCTCTGAAGAAAAGCAACTGATTAACACAGTGAAGCATGAGAGGGGGCTACGAAGGGCTTGTTAGGTAATTTCAGCTGGCAAGTAGGCACATGGATGTCAGTTTTATTCCTGCTCCTCAACCTATATGTATATATTACATATACTGATGCATGTGACAGAGTTTTGCCAGTTTTGCATGTTTCATTTTTTCATTTTTTATTTTTTTGTGTGTGGAGACAAGAGTCTCCTTCTGTCGCCCAGGCTAGAGAGCAGTGGCACAATCTTGGCTCACTGCAACCTCTGCCTCCCAGGTTGAAGCGATTCTCCTGCCTCCGCCTCCCGAGTAGCTGGGACTACAGGCGCCCGCCACCATGCCCGGCTAATTTTTTATATTTTTAGTAGTGACGGGGTTTCACCATATTTGCCAGGCTGGTCTGGAACTCCTGACCTTGTGATCCACCTGCCTCGAGATTACAGGTGTGAGCCACTGCGCCCAGCCAGATTTTAATTTATTTTTAGAGCCATGCTCCCGCTCTCTTGCCCGGATGGCGTGCAGTGGCATGATGACAGCTCCCAGGCTCAAACAATCCAACTGCCTCAGCCTCCTAAGTAGCTGGGATTACAGGCGTGAGCCACCGTGCCTGGCCATAGAAGCACATTTAAAATACTGAAACAGGCTGGGCACGGTGGCTCACCCCAGTAATCTCAGTTCAAGACCAGCCTGGCCAACGTGGTGAACCCCATCTCTACTAAAATACCAAAGATAGCTGGGTGTGGTAGTACACACCTGTAGTCCCAGCTACTCGGAAGGCTGAGGCAGGAGAATCACTTGAACCCAGGAGGTGGAGGTTGCAGTGAGCTGAGATTGTGCCACTGCACTCCAGCCTTGGCAACAGAGCAAGACACCATCTCAAATAAATAAATAAATAAACAAACAAACAAACCAAGGCCAGTGACAGGCACGGTGGCTCACGCCTGTAATCCCAACACTTTGGGAGGTCGAGGTGGGCAGATCACCTGAGGTCAGGAGTTTGAGAACAGCCATGGTCAACATGGTGAAACCGTGTCTCTACTAAAAATACAAAAAGAAAAAATTAGCCAGGTGTGGTGGTGTGCACCTGTAGTCCCAGTTACTTGGGAGGCTGAGGCAGGAGAATTGCTTGAACCCGGGAGACAGAGGTTGTAGTGAGCCGAGATCGCACCACTGCACTTCAGCCTGGGCAACACAGCAAGACTCCCTCTCAATTAAAAAAAAAAAAAAGGCCGGGCGCGGTGGCTCATGCCTGTAATCCCAGCACTTTGGGAGGCTGAAGTGGGCGGATCACAAGGTCAGGAGATCGAGACCATCCTGGCTAACACGGTGAAACCCTGTCTCCACTAAAAATTCAAAAAATTAGCCGGGCGTGGTGGTGGGCGCCTGTAGTCCCAGCTGCTGGGAGGTTGAGGCAGGAGAATGGCGTGAACCCAGGAGGCGGAGCTTGCAGTGAGCCAGGATCATGCCACTGCACTCCAGCCTGGGTGAGAGAGCAAGACTCTGTCTCTAAATAAATAAATAAATAAAAATAATAAAATAAATAAAATAAAAACAAGGCCAGGCAGGCAGAGTGGCTCAAGCCTGTAGTCCCAGCTACTCAGAAGGCTGAGGCAGGGGGATCATTGAGCCCGGGTGGCAAAGGTCGCAGTGAGCCAAGATTGTGTCATCCAGTCTGGATGACAGAGTGAGACCCTGTCTCAAAAAAAAAAAAAAAAAAAGGCCCAGCACTTTGGGAGGTCGAGACAGGAGGATCACGAGGTCAGGAGATCGAGACCATCCTGGCTAACACAGTGAAACCCCGTCTCTACTAAAATATACAAAAAAAACTAGCCGGGCGAGGTGGCGGGCGCCTGTAGTCCCAGCTACTCGGGAGGCTGAGGCAGGAGAATGGCGCAAACCCAGGGGGCGGAGCTTGCAGTGAGCTGAGATCCGGCCACTGCACTCCAGCCCGGGCGACAGAGCGAGACTCTGTCTCAGAAAAAAATAATAATAAAAAAATTAAAATTAAAAATTAAAGGCTAAATGTAAAAAGATGGAAAAAAATATTCAGACAACCATAAGTAAGCTAGAATGGCTTATTAATGGGAGAATATTAGTGGGATATTAATATCAGACAGTAGAATTCAAAAACGAGAGTATTACCAGCAATAAAGGTACACATCAAGAAGACAAAAAGTCCTTAATTACACAGTTTCAAAATAAATGAAACCTACCAATTGCCTAGAGAAATAGACATCCATGAATGGAGATTTTAATCCTCTTCAGTAATAAGACAAAAACAATAGGGATATAGAAGACTTGAATAATGCAATCAACCAATTTGATTTGACATAAAACATGGCACCGAGAGACAGCAATACATATTTTCTTTCAAGCACACCTGGACTACTCTAGATGGATTAGTCTGGGTGGTAACAGAATTTTGGTTTTTGAGGCGGAGTCTCACTCTGGTGCCCAGGCTGGAGTGCAGTGGCGTGATCTCAGCTCACCACAACCTCCGCCTCCTGGGTTCAAGCAATTCTCCTGCCTCAGCCTCCCAAGTAACTGGGACTACAGGCGCATGCCACCATGCCCGACTTTTTTTTCAGTAGAGACGAGGTTTCACTATGTTGGCCAGGTTGGCCTCGAACTCCTGACCTCGTGATCCGCCCACCTCAGCCTCTCAAAGTGCTGGAATTACAGCCGTGAGCCACCGCACCCGACCAACAATTTAAAAGGATTGAAATCATTAAAAGTATGTTGTCTGGCCACAATTGAATTAAATTAGAAATTAATAATGAAAATGTATCTAGGCTGGGCGTGGGGCTCAAGCCTGTAATTCCAGCACTTTGGGAGGCTGAGGCAGGTGGATCACCTGAGGTCAGGAGTTCAAGACCAGCCTGACCAACAAGGTAAAACCCCGTCTCTACTAAAAATATAAAATTAACTGGGTATGGTAGCACATGCCTGTAAATCCCAGCTACTTGGGAAACTGAGGCAGGAGAATTGCTTGAACCTGGGAGGCGGAGGTTGCAGTGAGCCAAGATCATGCCACTGCACTCCAGTCTGGGAGACAGAGCGAGATTCCACCTCAATAAAAAATAAATAAAAACAAGGCTGGGCGTGGTGGCTCATGCCTGTAATCCGAGTACTTTGGGAGGCTGAGGTGGGCAAATCACAAGGTCAGGAGTTCAAGACCAGCCTGGCTAACATGGTGAAACCCCGTCTCTACTAAAAATACAAAAATTAGCTGGGCGTGGTGGTGGGCACCTGTAATCCCAGCTACTCAGGAAGCTGAGGCAGAAGAATCATTTGAACCTGGGGGGCAGAAGTTGCAGAGAGCCAAGATCTCGCCACTGCACTCCAGCTTGGGCAACAGAGCGAGACTCCATCTCAAAAAAAATAAATAAAATAAAGAAGATACAGAAGAATATAATTTGAGAGACCTTTGAAAAGTATGGCAAGATTAAAACCATAGAAGTTATGGAAGACAGGCAGAGTGGAAAAAAGGATTTGCTTTTGTAACTTTTGATAATCAAGATACAGTTGATAGAACTGTTCAGAAATATCACTTTTTTTTTTTTTTTTTTTTTTTTTTTTGAGACAGAGTCTCGGACTGTTGCCCAAGCTGGAGTGCAGTGGCGAGATCTTGGCTCTCTGCAACTTCTGCCTCCCAGGTTCAAATGATTCTCCTGCCTCAGCCTCCTGAGTAGCTGGGATTACAGGCGCGTACCACCACGCCCAGCTAATTTTTGCATTTTTAGTAGAGACGGGGTTTCACTGTGTTGGTCAGGCTGGTCTCGAACTCCTGACCTCATGATCCGCCTGCCTAGGCCTCCCAAAATGCTGGGATTACAGTGCCATGTTTTATGTCAAATCAAATTGGTTGATTGCATTATTCAAGTCTTCTAT